GACTTGTCAATCAACTATCGTGGGAGGGGCATATGCAGAACTACGTCATTCTGACTGGAATCTCAGAACAGCCTGATTTGAGAAAGGGGATTTTAAAAAAAAACACTGGGTGGATTTTTATCATTATAGGGTGGATGTGTACGCACACTTAAGTTCCAACACACATTTTTGTTCAAACAACAACAAAAGTGAATTTTGCATCCGATGACCCCTTTAAAACTGGGCCATAGAGAGTGTCCTGGAGGGCTATGGGGGTTTATGGCTTCCCCTGCTGCTATAATTATCAGTACAAGAAGAACGAGATGTATACAGGTGAGTGTCCTGCTCTGGAGATGAAGAGGAATGATAAACTGGTCTGGCTGTGGAACGTCAGCTCGGCTCTGTAGCCTGATATCTATCTGGATCTCGGGCTCCGGGGCCGCGGTCGGGATATCTTGCTGTACAGCCGCCATTGGATCCTGGAGGCCATGAGGATGAGGGAACAGACCACCCATCGACCTCCATCTGTCTTCCCCTACGCCAGGATCGCCTACACATACTCCATGGAGTTTCTCTCACAGGTCAGCGCAGAGTAAAGGCCCATTTCAATTTTTTACCCTTTATTACTTGTTTTATATCTGTTTAACAAAGTGTTATAGACCTTAGTCAGGGTAGCGCCTGGGTTATTATAGTTAACTAAAACTGAAACTGATATTAAAATTGAAATCATAAAAAAAACTTTTTTTTTTGTTTGTTTCCAAGGCAACATTTCTCAATTTAATTTAGTTTAACTTGATGTATTAAATAACTTAAACTGAAATAAAAAATAATATTTATAATAAATAAATAATTTAATATATTAAAAAAATAAATTATATACAGAAACTACTTAAAATGACAAAAACACCATAAAATTACAAAAAAAAAATTAACTAAATACTAACTAAAAATATTTAAAATATAATATATAAAATATTTAAAATATATATAAAAAATAAAAACGGATTCAAAATATTAATAAAAGCTATAATAGTAGTAAAAATATATGAAATATGTGAAAATATGTAATTTTTGACTGGAATGAAAATTTCAAATTGAAAATTTTGAATGAAAATGTTTTAATTCAATATGTCGTCTAACCTGACTATCTAAGGTCTATACATATTTTGATATTCAAGTGATTATTGTCATGTTTATTGATTATGATCTACCTGGCAATAAAAAAGGCCTGTTCACACCAAGAAGGATAACTATAACAATAACTAAATTATATTGTTCTGTTTATTATAAGCATATGTGCAGTTTGGTCACATGCTGCTTTAAATGCTTATGCTTTTTAAACTCTGAATTCTGATTGGCTTTATAGCTATCGTTATAGTTATCGATTTTGTTGTGAACTATGAATTTAAATTAAAGGTTTAAAATATGTAATTTAACAAAAATGGTTTGTGTCACTCATATGTGTTTTCAGGAGGACTTGGTGCACACTATTGGTGAGAGTGTCGCTCTAGGAGCTGCTGGTGTCGTGCTGTGGGGAGATAGAAACTACTCTCAAATGAAGGTTGGAGTGATGTTGATTATTACACAAATGCACTCATACACTTCTGATAATTGTATATTAGTGGTTGGCTAGAAAGCTGGAGTGCATTATGCATTGACAAGCTGTTGACTTATAGGGAAACTGGCGTCACACTCGAATCTTTCCGTCAGGTCATTCTCAGGTGAACATGAACAAAAGCGTGTAAACAAGCACATATCTTTTTACTGCATACAAAATAATTCTAGTTCAGTCAACTCTGACCTCCAAGTTCATTTAGTTTGACCAATAAAGGATGCAATTGTCACAGATTCATGTCCTTTTTTTTTTAAATATAAAACCTGAAATAAAATAAAATGTAAATATATGATGAATAACTTCAACTTAGACAACTTGAAAGAAATATATTTTTAACTCAAATATTTATGTTGGACTGCTAAAATGATAAAAACTCAAATAAAACTGAAAGAAGCTAAAGCAAAATAGAAATATTAGAAAAAAAAATTATAAAAATGACAAAAGCATGTAACAAAACTACTAGGACTTAAACTAAAATGAAAATGAAAACTGTTGATATAAAAATAAAAACGAATTCACAATATTGATAAATACTATGATAATATGTAAATATTACTAAAATAACACTAAAAAAATCGAACTTAAGTTAAACAGAAAAGCTACATGGTTTGCAGTGTTATAAGAACATGTATTATTATCAATAGAATTTCTTTATTACTTATTATTTATACAAAACAGAAACAATGGATAATATATAACAAATAATTCATTTATATCTGATAAATATTTAAATTGTTTCAGAAATGTATGATATCTAGACATTGGAATGAATCATTACAAAAATTATATTAAATTCACATCAAGTGTTAATTTTCAGCATTCTTATGCACTAATATATTTTTCAAAACGTTAAATTATTTTGGGAAATTGGCTTCCTATGGTGTAACATGCTTTTGTTTGCTTGTTTTATAATTATTATGCTTGACCATATATAAAAAATAGATTTATATAAATTACACAAATGATAAATGAAATAATTAAGTTACATATTTAATTATTTAAATTCTAATAATATGAACTGGTGAAAGAATTAAAAACAAAATGAAAAACTGACCAGTTGCCATACCTAAGATACATGCTTTCTTGTCTTATAAATGTATATCATTTTTAACTTCCACATATAAATTGTATACATAAACCACATATACTTGCACACATAAACACAACAAATGACCATGGCTTGTCTCCTCTGTGCAGAAGGCCTGTGTAGCGGTTCGGGACTACCTGAACGACATGTTTGGCCGCTACATTGTGAACGTGACGGAGGCGGCGTTTCTCTGCAGCCAGACCGTGTGCTCGTCCAAGGGCCGGTGTATCAGGAGAGACCCGAGCGGCACGGCCTACCTGCATCTGGACCCAGCCGAATGGTCCATCGTTCCCAGAACTAAGCTGCCCGGGTCCGTTAGCAGGGGTCCGTCTTATGTAGCCCACAGGAGGTTCAGGACGGTTGAAGGAGAAACAAGTGGATTCGCGGCCAGCTTTAGGTGCCAGTGTTTCCCAGGCTGGGAAGGAGAACAGTGTCAGAAACCAGTGCCTGTAGAGCCGTTTACATGACAGAAATGACTAGAAGACTGTGGGGGTTAAAGCTCAGGGCGGTTCAACGCATTACCATTGTGGACTTGACTTTACAGGGTGATTGTGCCTTTAACAAATGTACTTGAAGTCATTTTAGATAAAGTGTGTACTAAACGACTATGTGTTTCCATGCTTGCTAGCTAAACTTTATAAAATATGATTTTTAAAAAAAATCAAGATGCAGTTTAATTTTGATTGTTTGTTTATATCAAACATATGCAAAACCCCGAGAATGCAAATATTATTAATCAAATTTATTCATGAAAAGCATCAACAATTAAAGTTAAGTCCCAAATGACGCACTATACACTATGCACTCATACACTATGTACTTATGCACTATGTACTCAACCATGTAGTGTATGAATTATATAAGGTTATTTTGTCATTCATAATCGGAGTCTGATAGCCCCTCCCCCTTCGCTACGTAATTAAAGCAGAGTGCATGAAGTGTACAACATTCCACACTTCGTTTTTTCGGTTATTTAAGTGCATCATCCGGGTATTTAAAGTGCACTTTTTCTTTTTGGAATTTTCAGTGTGAATGCACTCTTCACACTATTTATACTACAAAACGTCATAGAATAGTGCATAAGTACGAGATTTGGGAACTTTCTAGCAATGTAAATCAAAGATCAAAATGAAGCTAATCAAGCTGATAAAATGAAGTTTTGTTGCTTTCATTCCATGTCTGTTGGATTTTAGCCCATTTAAAAGCTAGAATACTCCTCTAAATTTGACAAAATCAACGTTTAGCAGATATATGCGTTTAAATCATCTTAAAATAATTTTAGCATTTAAAATACGGCGTCTTTCTTTCCTGGGAAAACAAACAACGCATACTTTTCTTGCATTCAGGTATATGCAGATTTTGTCCAATAAAACGCTCCCTAGATTTAGCAAGCCCCGCCTACTAATACCACCTGATCTGGCTAGCAAATCATAGTTTAGGGATTAAAAAATTAGATGAGGCCTTCGATATATATGCTGCCCCAAACTGTTTTGTTCCAATAAGAAAGAAATACATCAGCTAAGAGATGAAAACTAAATTAACTGAAGAAAACTGTGAGGAATAATACAAAATTTGAGGAAAATCAATACAGTGCAGCCTTGTATGAAGGTAAGCTGACGGTTTTGTTGGACATTTGCTGTGCAGCCTGTCACTGTAAGCGAAAAGCAACACAAACTGTCTGAAATCACTCTGTAGGGCCACTAGATGACAGTAGAAGCACACTTTCAAGTGTGCTAAAATGACTGGTAACATTCAGTTCAAACCCCTTTGTATAATATGTAGAGATGGCAAACATGAAAGACTTGTTTACTAATTGTCTGGGCTAGAAACACTCAGGTAACTCAATGAAACTTAGCATGAATCACGATAGCTTTGATCAGATGTGGATGTGTTTAGCTTGGTCGTTGGCATGTTGCTTTGTTGTTTTTTGGCCTAACTGTCAAAGATGGTCTTTAGAAATAGCTTTGTTTTGTGTAATACTTCGATTTCATCAATGGAAATCGTCGGCCTTGTACTATGAATATTCCTATTGCTCATACTGTTGATAATTCCACTGAAATCATGATTCCATTCCAATGTTTTAGACATGTCAATTATGTAGATGTATTTCTCTTACAAAATGTATTGTTGGGAGACCATGATACAGTGATGGTATGGGATGGTAAAACTATGATACTTCATGGTACTGAACAACATGCTACCCCAAGGTACTGCAATAGTACATGTCCAAAATACCATGGTACTGCCATGGTATTTTACTTTCTTGTAAGTGTTGTGAACAGACTTGGATATAGAGAGTGAAAAGAAAAGGAAATCTTTGCAATCATAGATGTAATCTCCTCATCGTTATTGCATTATCTTGGAGAAAATGAAAATCATCTTAAGCTGTATGGGTTTGACCTTTATAGGGGTCAGCGCGACCTAGCACACTATTAAGGGGGTATTTTCCAGTTGAAATTGGTTGCAGAAGATGACTCCAATCAGCAATTTGAACAAAATAATTTAATTTTTAGAATTTGGTGTCCAAATCGAAGTAAACTGGATGTAACAAGGATGTAACTAAATGTAAAAGTTGATTCGGTATTTCGGTAGTTGAATAATCATCCATTGCAAGCCATCCATAGAACATCTATACTTATTGTTTTTATGAAGTCAGACTCAAGTGAGACTTTTATTGAGTTAAACTACTGAATCCAATTGTCCTTTTCATGGTTGATTGCCAGTAAAAAAAAAATCACATTAGACAAAACCTACAAAAATCACTGATTAAGAGAAGAACAACTTTACATTTCGGTCATTCTGGTCTGTGGCGGGTGTTGAGAGAATTACCCGCGCTCATGAGATAAGGTAAACAAAGGCCGTTAAATTTAGGCTCACTTCCATTCCCCCAGAACTGATTGCATTGACCCAAAGTCACACATTTAGACAGATAAGCAGCCGCAGAGGATGATAATAGACGTCCCTTTGCAACTTTTGTGTTTTATCGGTCTCCAACCTGGAACAGCAGTCCCTTAAGACAGCTCGCCATAGTCTGAGAGGCAGCAAGTGTGTCCAACATCTGAAAAATGCTGCTTTTACAAAGTTAATAACATTGTCTACTAAGATCTCTTCATCTGGCCAGTTTTTATCAGTCAACATTTGAAGTAATTCAGATTTTGTAATGTTTTTGAAACAAGTCTCTTTTGCTCACCAAGGCTGCATTTATTTGAAATATTGTTACAATTTAAAAATAACTCTTTTTCCATTTGAATATATATATAAAAATGTAGGTTATTCCTGTGATCAAAGCTGAATTTTCAGCATCATTACTCCAGTCTACACATGATCCTTCAGAAATCATTCTAAAATGCTGATTTGAAAAACATTTCTTATTGTTGTCAGTGTTGAAACAGTTGTGCTGCTTCACATTATTGTGGGAACCATTAAAATGTTTTTTTTTAAAGAAATTATTACTTTTATTCAACAAGGATGCATGAAATTGACCAAAAGTGTCAGTTAAAGGCATTTATAATGTTACAAATGATTATATTTAAAGTATGTTGTTCAGTAAACTTTCTATTCATCAAAATACTCTGGAAAAAAAAAAAAATATATAAAAACTGCTTTCAACATGAATAATAAGAGCCATTATTAATAGACCACCAACAGAACTTTTGAGCAGCAAATCAGCATATTGATTTCTGAAGGATCATGTGACACTGAAGACTGGAGAAAGGATGCTGAAAATTCAGCTTTGCAAATTGCATCACAGAAATAATTTACATTTTACAATATATCCAAAAAGAAAACAGTTCTTTTAAATTGTAATAATATTTCACAATATTACTGTTTTTTTTACTGTATTTTAATCTAATAAATACAGCCTTGTTGAGCATACAAGACTTCAAAAACATAGAAAAAATCTTAAAAGCATCTGTAATCCTGTGCATGCGTTTCAGGTGAAAATGTTTAAATTGGCATTAAAAACAATAACAACTTTTCCAGTTCAACAGCATTACAACCTTCACCGTTAATTAAAGCTATTGTAGGTTTCAGATACCCATCTAACCGTTGCCAGACACCCAGCTCCATTTTTCTGCTTCTGTTCCTCTCGTCTATTTTTTTGGTGTCGTGACCTGAGTCCCGTCCTCGGTCATGCTTTCCATTCCCCTGCTGTTTGGTGGTCTGGCGAGCGCCGGCATCATCTCACTCACTCACTGCTTTTTAATAAGCGCTTCGTCACGCACGGCCTCTGTCCTTCAGAAAGAGTGGGCACACGGATCGCGTGTGAGGGGACTCTGTATTTGAGCCAGACTAGCTTTACTCTTCAGTCATGGCTGCCTATCTTTTCACTTTATTTTGAGGTTTGGAGTTGTAGACCTTTTGGAGATGAGTGTAAAGAGAAAATGGTCTTGGGAGGATGTGTTTGTACTTCACCTCACATTATGTCAAGATATTCAATAAACAGGTTTGATGTGGTTAATTCCAGTGTATCTTGTAAGCAAATAGTGAATAATGACTTGAATTTCAGCCAGTTTATCACACTAAGTTATAGTATCTAAATTTAAGATTTATGCATATGAATTGCATATACAGTTTCTATCCATTAGGATTACACAGTTTTAAACAATATAAAAAAACCTAATGTAATGCATATTTATAAGTCGTAAATGAAACGGGTAAGAAACTGCACTCAAAAAAATAATGGCCTAGTTTATTATTTATTATTTGAAGCTATTGGATATTATTTAAATAATCTATAGTTCCTTAGAACTCAGAACAGTAAAAAAAAAATCTTACCAGATTTGACCTGAAACCATCATAAGCTCACACTCAGATAGACTTTGAAGATCCAAAAGAATGCAAAGACTTTGTCAGATTTGATATCATCAAACTTTGGCATATATGACAACCAATCAAAGATGAAAATCGGGTATTGCAGTCAGATTTGATATCATCAAACTTTGGCTTATATGACAACCAATCAAAGATGAAAATCGGGTATTGCAGTCAAATATACAATTTTGTGCATTACAGCCATTTATGCATTAATATGCAGACACATGCCGGCATAATAACCCATTTAATAACCCAAGCCACATTTATTAGTATTTCATTTGAAAACTTTCTTCTGTTTTTATAATTAATTTAAATAAGATTTCTGCTGTGCATTCCCATAATCCAGTTTTTTTTTTTTTTTTTTTTTTTTCAGCATTTACTCGCTACCCATTCTGAATAAACATTTCTCTTTCTCTACGCTAATCTGGTTAATAAATTGGATAGTGCAGGAGCAATGTGTTTGCTATCAGTGCCGTGTCGCTTCGCTGCCCATCGGGCCGCCTCGCCACAGAATTGGAGTGACACCGTGGTCACTTATTTGAAAGTGTGTGCTGATTGCTCTTGCAAAAATGGCAACCACACTTTTTTGTGTGAAGGATTACAATTTATCTGCAAGGAGGAGAGAGACTCTCTAATCAACCTTCAGAGAGGTTCTGTCGTCATAGGCATTGGTTATTTGGTGTGTGTGTAGCTTGGTATTTGACCCACACTGCCTCTGTTTTTACAGGTTTTGGGAATGGTATATCAGTTTTCATCTTAGTCATTCATATATTTGATTTCTATGCGTATTTATGTACTGCTCGAGTAATATTAGCATGCATTTTGGGGTCAGTTTTATTGCTTGTTGACAATAGTTATGGTTGGAGTGGGAATAGTGTATTGATTACAGCATAATACTTATTATGTACGGCATACTAGTTTGTTTATATACAGTGGGTACGGAAAGTATTCAGACCCCCTTAAATTTTTCACTCTTTGTTATTTTTTCAAACAGTTGCTACTTGCCACATGAAAGATTGTCATTGCATAGTGCTGTTTCACACTCAGTATTTAAGAAATTAGTACTATGTAGTACGTAAATACATTTTCAGTACATAAAATATATAAAATGCGTATTGCGTATCATGAATATGAAATGCATATGTATTTCAATGGTGTAATTCATTGCTGTCATAGCAAGTAAATGTATAATAATTTTTAAAAAACAAAATAAAACAATTAAATATTTATATTTGATAAAATTATTATTGCTTTATTATTATTTTACAAAATTATTATTATTATTAAAGAAATAGTAAGTACATAAAACAGTTCATAATATAATAATATAAATATAACACAATATAATATATATTTATGTCTTATATGGTAAAGTATGTTACAAATTACATATCCTTTTGTTTAATATACATTTTTATATAAATTATATGATTTTTTATAATAAAAATAAATATGGATTACATTTATTTAAATAATCAAATATTTTTTTTTAGCATAAGATATTAGGGCTGGGTAAAAAAATATCGATATCTCTATATTAATCGATTCTAATTTTTATGGAATGATATCGATTCCTAAATCCCAAGAATCGATTAGTCTAGCCTGTTTTCAGTTAATGGACGGAACATTGCAGGGTACTTCCCATCCAAAAAATCGCAATAAGCATTGTGCTTTGGTACTTTTAATATGAAACAAAGTCTCAGATTTCAAATTCTGTCCATTGTATTGCAATATTTAAACAATAAATGCCGTTTTGGCGCTGTTTAATGTGAAGTGACAGATCGCTGTAG